ATACAAAAGGAAATTATTTGACATGTCATCTTTTCCTCTTTACTAGCGGTATTGGACAAAGTTCGGATGAGGAAGAAACAAAATACTTGAAGTGTCAGTGATCTACTGTCTTTATGCATACATGATGAGCCTGCCGACTATTCCCAACCATAATCAAGAATCAGCCACCCATAACTCCAGACTCCAAGGCCAATATATTCAGCTCCCATGGATGAGATAAATTGAAGAGAGACCATTAGCTGACAATGTCTGAAAACTTCAAATGACATGACAATCTTTTCAGATCTAGAAGGGGAAATGACCAAGGAGGACTTTCTGGGTTTTTTTTTTTTTTTGGTCTTCATGTACATTAGTCAGAGTTCTTGACTATTTACAAACCAACTCTGGCCAATGGAAGCAGAATAGGATTGATTGTACAGATTTCAAGTGCTGCAGAATTACGAGGGAACACCACTGGTTCCACCTCAACTGCTAGACACTACCTGATTCTGGAGACAACTAGGATAAAGTTGAACTTTTCTCTTTGTCTTTACAACAACAGAGCAAGATTCAGGGTTCTAAACAGGAACAACTGAATAGCCAAGATGGGTCACCCATCTGAGCCTAGATGTCAGGAGTTAGGTGACTGAGTATCTGGCACTCTTCTGCTCCATGATGCGAGAGAGGGTCCTAAGATGCACACGGTGTGGGTTCCCCCAAATAGAAAGGTGGTTTGCACGCTGCTCTGCCACAGAAAAATGACAGACACCCACTACATCACAGTTTAACAGTGCAGCATCTGTATGACTTGATAATACATCAGTTATAAAAGTGTCTAAAACCCAGTCTCTACAACCACAAATCCAATGCTCCAAGTGGGGTAGATTTAGGATTCATAGCCTGTAAGGAATTCCTGCTCTGAAAGCTAAAAAGAAATCAGTCAAAATAAATTTTTAATCAGCAGTTTCCTGGTCCTTTACCCATAGCAATTTTATAAGTTGTGGTTAAACACTGCATGCTACTGGCATGTCACAAAATCCATGCTGCCAGCACACATTAACCCAGGAGAGCTTTCAACTCTCAATCGAGTTTCCATTCCTCTCTGAAGTCCTCCCAACTCAAAAGAACAAGACAACTCCAGGCTTGGCTCCTTAGTCTATTGGTTAATATGGAACTCCCAGGAGGTAGGTCCAGCTCCCCTGTAGAAGCTTCTGGGGTGAGCCTGTGTAGTCTTTAGCTTAAGGGAGGCTGGAGACTAAAGTTTGAGTAGAGGAAGGATAAGATCCAGGCTGGGAAGGAAAACTCTTCTTGGTCAGTTATAGTGATCCTCAAGGCAAGAAACAGAATTGAGACCTCTAGAGAACCTGCAGAATTGAGATCAGAGGACAAAAGCAGTGTAGGAATGGGTGTAGTGGAGTTCACTGTGGGGAGCACCTTCCAGTCCTGAAGCAGGAGGCTCTGACCAATCACTACATTTCGTGGTGACTTGGGCGTTGTCCCGCCTGGATAGCAAGGCCAGTCTTGTGAGTAGGTGTAACCTTGGGGTCAAGCTATATTCACCTATTCTTTTGTAATCCTACCCCTTTGCCCTGTCTGGGATAGAATGTTCCATGGAAACTCTCTTTATGTGTCCCCTTCTCTTGCTCTGCCTTTGGGCATGGCCTTCCTAGATGTCAGTCAATCTGCTGACAGTAGACATCAAGAGGCTAGGTTCAACCCCCTGAAACCTGACTCCTTGCCTCATTTGAATGGCTTCTCCTCAATAAAAGGGTTCAGAACGAGCTCTCTCACTCTCTCTCTTTCTATGGACCCCTAAGGTTAGAGGAGCCTCACAGGACCCAAAGAGAAAGGTATCACTGTCTCTTGTGTGCTTATTCACCTGGAGTGACCCTGAGTGTTTTAGTCGTGAGAAACGTGACCGGACACAGCACAGTTTTCTCTTCCAAATTATAGTAATTTATAGTAATTTATTTCCAGGAATCTAATTCCACAGGGAAAACCAACCTGTTTCTCCTATGCTCACACAGCCAACACAACCTCCCAATGAGGGAGGTGGGGACCGTCCCCACATGCCAAGCAATTCTGCAATGGACACCAGCTGTGTACCCTCTAATTTAGTTCTGATACTGCTTACCTGGAGATGGCATCAGATTATCCCACAAGACTGCCCTCCCATCAGATGCCATTCACAAGTAGGTGTTGTCATCTATACCTATGACCAACTGGCTATATATTTGGGATCCCACAACCCCCTCCTTGAGTTTGACTAATTTGTAATAATGACTCACAGAACTCAGAGAAATACTTTATTTTTCATCCTTTTATTACACAGGCTATTGCAAAGGCTACAGATGAAAAGCCAGATGGAAAAGACACATAAAGCAAGGTATGGGGAAGGAGCACAGAGCTTCCATACCCTCCAGGAACCTCCCACATGTTCAATTCAGCAGCTCACTGAACCTAGGCCTTTTGGGCTTTTATGGGGGCTTCATTACATAGGCATGATTGATTGCATCACTAGTCATTCATCAACTCAATCTTCTGCCACAAACTCCTCCCTGGAGGTTGGGGGTAGGGCTAAAGTCCCAACTCTCTAATCAGGACATGGTCTTTCTGGTGATCAGCCCTAATCACAAGGCTACCTAGGGGTCCTCAGCACTAGTCATCTCATTAGCATACAAGAGAGATTCTTATCACTCCAGAGATTCCAAGGATTTTAGGAGTTTTAAGAAATCTGATGAAGACTAAATACATGCAATATCACACATAGATATACTTGCACAAGTATATAAAGATATACATACAGTGATATTCTCTAAAGCATTGCTGTCAACACTCAAAATAACCGCCCACCAGTAGTTTAATATATATTTGTACAGTCATACTATGGGATACAATACTACCACAAAAAAAAGAGTGAACTACAATATAGTGATATTATCTATAAGAAAGAAAAGAGAGTGGCAGAAGAGTGTGCATTGTATTTTCTTAGGGTGGAAGAAAACATTTCCTGTTTCCATTTAACTGCTTTCTGTGAACATGCAGTCTATTTATAATTTTAAAAATTAATCAAAATGAGTAAAATAGGTAACAAGCAGACGTTAAGGGTCAAGAAATAAATTTTCCCCATCAATGCTGCCCACCTGGGGCTGTAGGAAAGTGAGCTTCTTTCAGCCAAGGACATTTTCCTGCCTGAAAGTCCAAAGGGGAAACCACCTCTATCAAATCTCTTTCTGAATGTCCCTCAGAGCCTGGATTCTGTTCAGCTCTGGGGAGGGCCTGCCCCTGCCTCCTCCTCAGGCATTTGGGCTGCATATCACATCCAGGCTCAGAAAGTGACACTGTAGGATGCCTCTCCCCTCAAAACAAAAACAGAGTGTTAAAAGCATGGGACTAGAATGGGGCACACTTGGGTATGTGGCCTTGCAATAATGGTGGTGACGTTGGTGGCAATGGTTAAGAAGTCAATGGAAGCTAATTTCAAACTGAACTGACTTCTAGAGATGAAAGACAGAGGGACAGGGATGGGGGGAAGAAGGATGGAACTAATGCCCTATCCTCTGGATTAAACCAACAGCCCTGAACAGCCTATGCTGAAGCTTGAATGAAAAACACTTCACTCAAAAAGTGGGGAAGGGGACTAGCTTAGAGAAGGGCCCCAAAGGAGAGTTCTTCCTAACTTCCCACTGACATAGGAGAATTTTGCCCACACAAGACCCTGTGGAAACCCAGATGGCGGTGCCACAAGAGGAGGGCCAGAGCTGCATGAGGCAAAGCTGCCATAGCTCTTCTTCCAACACTGGGGGTGCTAGCCTTGCCCTACCCCTGACCTCGGGTCACAACTTTCCACTGCTCCAAATCTGCCAGGGTGTTTCCCCACTTTTCCTTTTGAGCAAGGAAGAGCTAACTCCAGTGTGTTCAGCGGTGGAAAAGTAAGCAAATGAACCCCTTTCCTGGACCCTTGCTTAGGCAATCTGGGAAGTTCTAACATCAGGGTCTGGGAGACTCAAACCCTTGTTTGTATCCTTCTACTGCAGGGAAATGCCCAGTTCAGTCTGGAGTCCACATTCAAGCCCCTGAAACAAGAGTGGCTGGAGGAAGGTCTAATTGCCCCAGGGCGGTAGAAAGCCAAGGCTAGGCAATGCTTTGGCTTTGGTTTGGCACCAAATCCGACCCCAGCAGCAGGCCCAAGACCTCTCCATACTCCCCCGTGTTCTGCTTAGATTTGTCTCTGGCCCATCTTCCCATGTAACTCGCACAACTACCTAGGCAAGAAGGCCTGTCCTAACTCTCCTCAGGACCCCTGATCTTCATCTCTCAGGACGCAGGCTTCCCGTCTCCTCTTCGCATTTGACAACAGGTCCCTTTGTGCAGAGCTGGAGAAACACAGACCCCTTCTCCCGGGACCCTGAAGGAGAGATTCTTTTGGACTGTCTCCCAACAGTGCGGGCCCAGCCCGGGTCGGGGGTCTCTGTGACTTTCCAGGCCCCGGGCCGGGCCTCCTCAGGTCCATCCTTCCACCTGACGCGCGGCCACCCCAGTTTCTCCCCGGCCTGGGGTGGCTCGCGGGCCCACGGGCGCTCGGGTTGTCGCGCCCCCACCCCCCACGCGCTCACAGACGCCGCGGCCACCCGAACCCTCGGCCCCGCCGCGTTCGGCCGCAGGACAGCGGCTCCGCGGGGCCCGGGCTCCGGCGGCTCGGCTCTGTGCGCTGCGCTCCGGCGGCTCGCTGCGGGCGGACTCCCGGCCGCGCCTGCCTTCTGCCTCGGTGGCCGAGCTGGGTGGGTAGCTGGGGGGACCGGAAGGATAGCGAGGAAGTCGGAGAGGGTTTCCTGAGATGAGAGATTACTTCCGTCCGGGCGCTGGCCTCTCTCTGGAGCCGGCTCGCTGGGGCTCCGGGAGCGGGGTGCGCGGGGCTCGGGGCCGCGCCTTGCCACCTGCAGCGCCCGGGAGGGCCGCAGGGGCCTCGGCGGGACGCGCTCGGCCCTGTCGCGGGGGGCTAACGCTGGGGATCCTTGCAGGTGGGAGTCGAGAGCGTCTCAAAGCGCCCAAGCCATGGTGGCCAAACAGCGGATCCGGATGGCTAACGAGAAGCACAGCAAAAACATCACCCAGAGGGGGAACGTAGCCAAAACCCTGGTAAGGCGGGGCGGCGCCGGCCGGGCCGGGCCGGGCAGGACCCGGCGGGGCGGGGCCGAGCAGGGCGGGCCGCGGGCGCAGGGCCCGGCCTCCCGGCTCCGGGCTGCGGGCTGCCCCTCCTGCGGGGTCCCGCAGAGTCGGGGATCAGGGGGCGCGGACTTCTCTCTCGGCGGCCTCGTGGGCGGAGATGGCCCTGGTTGGTCGTGGCCCCTCTGGGAGTGGCCGCCTGGGCTACCTTGGAGGCGCGGGGGCAGTCCCAGGAGAGAATTGGGACGTCGTCCTTGGAAGTCCACCTGCTTAGGGGACAGTTAGGCCAACTGCATGAACACAGGGCCCGAAGCTAGTAGGTGCTAGAATGTTTGTTGAATGAATGAATAAACGAATGGGTAATAGAGGCCATTTAAGATCTCTCTCTTCCAGACTCCACCCTTGTTCTCCCTCCCAGACACACACACACACACACACACACACACACACACACACCATGACAGGGTTTTGTTTGCAGCCCCTTTGTATGTTGAAAGAGCTCAAGAGTCTAGTAGTGAGATTCCTATCCACATTTACCTCATCTTTTTTTGGGGGGGGTGGGGGTGGGGTTTCCTGCTGCCGCCAGGCTGAAGTTTAAGTGCAACATTACTCTTGTTTGCCCTGTGAATTCAGGCTAATTCTGATGGTGTAACCTTTAAAGACCAGTTTATTGCCGGTGGTTCTGTGCTCCCAGAGCTGTAGATTAAAGCTTTACAACCGAAATCTAAAGTAAAACCTGTGCCTTATGCATGAGGATTTAACTTGGTAAAGCAGATTGTTTTCAACGGAAGACGCCAGGCTTGTGCATCTTTTGGACAGAGGCATGAAATGGATGGTTGCTGGACAGAGTTGGTCTCCAAGTCTGAGCAAAGGCACCTGGAATCCATTATCCCATCCAGTTGAGTGGAAGTCCAGCTGAAGCTTGGGGTTTGGCTGGAAACGCTTGCAGACTTGATGAGGCAATTCCTTTTAGACAAAGAAATTACGTTGGTTTGATTAACTGAGCAAAAAGCTGAATCTGCAATCATCATACTGAATTCTTGCAAAACCAAGAAGTATTGTCATAGAGAACTCTGAGGTTCAAACTCTACTCAGAGCTTTATGTACAATCTGAGGCTTCAGTGATCCTTAAAATTCTCTTACTTGGGTATTACATAACTTAGCTGTGATTAGGGCACCAAAATGCCAGTGTGCCATCAAATTGGAACCATTTTTCATGTAGATCTATGTTTTCCCTATTTATTTTTACTAAAAAAAAAAAAGTTGTGGCACAAATTGACATTGAAAAACGAATTTTGATTGATATTACAGCACACATGGTTCTGTGTTCCTAGGAGATCAAATTTTCCTTCTCAAAGTATCAGACCTACTTGCTGACACAGTGAAAATATCTAGATGTGTGGCTCTTTCTAATGACTGAAGGAACCAGAGTTCAGTTGTTAATTGATCTCAGTTGACAACTTATCTGACTGCAAAATAAGAGCAAAGTAAGATTAATTTGCACGGCTGTTTTATCCATTAAGCTTGGTAGACTCTGTGTCTGCCACCTCTAGCTGTTTTCAAGACCACTAAAAAATGTTTGGGACCTATAACAAAAATTTTGGCTCTTAAATAAGAAAAGAAAATGGGGAAATTGGGAAAATGCTGTTTAAATATCTAGTAAATGTAACCAGTCACTGCAGTTCAACTCAACTCAAATTTCAGAGCTACATTTAAATTATATTTAATGTGCGATATGAGTGTATTTAATAGGTTCTGATATAGCATGGGGTGGCGGGGGGCTCTGAAAGTGCCTGGCGCCTATGAGGGTTTTTAAATGGCCCAACTAAATTTGTAATGAAAGGTTTCCAAACCAAGCCACAATAAATGTTTGTTTTCAATTGGTTGGAGAGACTTTTGGTTAACTTTACTGTAAATGGGTCAGCATCCAAAAAGAAAAATGAGATTCTCTTTCAAAAAGAATCTCTATAAATCCTAAATCTCATTTTCCCAATTACAAGTCCAATATGATTATACTTTGATAGAAGTAACTTGCAGAAGACATCTTATTCAGTGTGAAATTCAGTAAATGGGAACATATTTAGGGATTCCAAATGAAAATTCAAACTTCCCCTTTAATTGTATGCAGACCTTCAGTATCATTATTAGCTGGCAGCTATGGGGCAAATTAACATTTTTTCCTCCCAGATAGCAGATTAATAAAGAAACAGAAAAATGGAATACTCATTTTATGATTGTATAGTAGTAACTCCTCCAGAATGGGAGGGAAATTTAAATTACAGAGTTCCAGGTTGCCTTGCCAGTATCTTAATACAGGGAAAGCCATCCCCTGACATCTTTGAGCCTCATGTTTGAAGTGAACCCTGTCAATTGCAGAATTGCTATTGTTCCCATTCCTTTCCCAGCAATAGATTCAGGTTTATGTGAGTCGTCCCATTGGGATTGCACTGGCTCTTTCAAAACAATAGAAACCCAAAGCTCTCAGATATGGATGTATCAGTATTATGAACAGCCAGGTATTCATGAGCTCTGAAAGTCCCAAAATAATATTGATTCACTAGAGAATATCCTCAGAAAGGTTTTTGTGTCATGTGCTTCAAGCTCTACATGCTGATAATTTGTATTTGTCTGCAAGTAAAAAACAAAAAACATTCCGCTTGATATCTATGCTAGACTAATAATTCATTTACTGGCTCCTGAATTCACTTGTTGACTTTGCTGGAAATAGAGCTAAAATGACTAACTATGACAAATTATTTGGAGGGCAGAGAAGGGTAAATGTCACACTTTGTTCCAGTAACTTTATTAATATCTGTATTATTTACTTAATCTGAGCTTGACCTGGTCTTTAGTACTGAAGACTGACACAAATAAAGTTATCTTACGCAATTCGTAGACTGATTTTTGTCCTTGTCTGGTCAAGAGCAACAGCCTATTATTCCCTTGCAGTGTGACTAAGTAAGGTGAGGGTAGGTACAAGTGTAACTGAGGATAGGTACAGGCTTATCAAGAACAGAGATTGAATGGCTTTATTCCTTGGTCATTGACAAATATACTTTTCTACTAAGAGAAATGTAGGGATAACCCTTTCTCCTTTAAGAAGTACTAATACAGCCAGGTGCGGTGGCGCACACCTGTAATGGTCGCAGCAGCTTGGGAGGCTGAGAATAGGAGGATCACAAGTTCAAAGCCAGCCTCAGCAATAGTGAGGCATTAAGCAACTCAGTGAGACCCTGTCTTTAAGTAAAATACAAAATAGGGCTGGGGATGTGGCTCAGTGGTTAAGTGCCCCTGAGTTCAATCCCTGGTATACCCTCCCCCGCCCCAATAAAAAAGTACTAATACAAAAATAAGATGTTTCCTAGATCTGGACTTTATTCTTCCTAAAATGAAATTGTATGCTTATTGATTCTCCAAAGAACATGTGTTATCTGCTACATTTAAATTTTGTGCCAGGCTTTGCTACACTTTAATACCTGAAAGAGACACAAAGCCTGCCCAGGTGGGGCCTCCAGTTTAGTGAAGAGACAGACATTAAACACATAGTAACAGAAATAAATAAAACGCTATAAATGATCATATGTAATGATTATATGTACTGTCAAGAAAAAAGTTCATGGCCATACAAGTGACTGGTGAAGTAGAAGAGGAAAGGCTTAGAATGTAACAGGAAAACTGAGAACAAATTGTTGCCTGATTCATAATAAAATGAGGGAATTCTTGTTAAAAGTTGAAAGTTTTTATTTACATGAACCTAGAACATAACTCCATATTATGTACAAATGCAACCTGTGTTTTCCAGTTTTAACATATAATGAATTTTACAGGAAGGTCACTACAATGAAAATCAAAGGAAGATTGTACTTTCTTTGTTAGAAACATTACTAAAACTTGTTTAGCATATCCCAAAATTTCATCCTTGATGACAGCACTGCTCATTTTTTAAAAAAATACTAATATGATATACCTTCAGTGTGTTTAGCCCACATTCTATAATGTTGATTATATTTTAAAATGTCAACACATTTAATCAAAATCCAAAATTGTATTTTGTGATTTCCACCACCAGTAAATGTTTTGTCAATATATTTACTCTACCAGTATGTTTCTCCCTGCCCTGTGAGGGGTGTGTGTGTGTTATTTAACTTATTTTGATTACAGCTTATCTTCTGCTCAACCTAATGAGGGAATAGTGAATCCTTTGCTGTTTTTCATTCTCTTTCTTCTCCCTTTTTATTTGCTAAGTCATTGGTTTTTCTGATGCTTCACCAGAAAATGTGCTTGTTCCATTGACTGGTTTGGTTTTAAGGACCACTTAAACATAGACCTAGTGGGACATTCTGATTACCACTGTGCTCTTGGTTTGAGAAGACCGCAGGAGGTAGGTAGGATTGTGTTCCTGCAGATAAAGCAGTGGCTTTCTTTTGCCAGAGAATGCAGAGATTTCTCCAAAGTTCAAGCTTCAGTAAGGCTGAGGGATGTTATTCCAGCATGCTGTTTCCCTCAGATCCATCCACTGTTGCTGGGTGCTTCGGTTATTCCAAGGATTTCTACTGCACTGACTTTCAAAAACTTAACATATGAAAGGGTTTGAGAAAATGCCTGTGCTCTCTGATCCTGCTTGGGCTTCACAGGTGCAGGAGAGCTAAAAATCGAGAGTGTAAAACACCAAGGCTCTGTAAAGAATTATATACTAGCTCTTGCTCAGGTTAACAAACTTTGAATCTCAGTTTCTCAATTACAGAGTGGAAATTATCATCATACTTGCTTTATACTGAGATGTGCGTGCTGGAGATAATAGATGTGGACTGCCTATTGGTGCTTGGCATGGAATGTGCTTTTAACAGATAGAAGCAATTATCAATATCATCTCCAAAACCTCTGTATTAGTTTGTATTTGTGCCTCATCTGTGCCTAAAATTGAAAACTACCAAGTTCATTGAGTTACGTGGGTGTTAATAGGTTGTGGATAAATTTTTTTCAAACCTATCTCAATCCTTTATAATTAACTTTATTCATCTATATCTGTCAATAAGAAAGAGGGAGACCAAATCTGTCTCATTCACAGTAGAATCCCCAGCACCTAGCTCAATGCCTAGTAGTTCTCAATAAGTGTTTATTGAATCAATAAACCTAATTTTACTTTTTCCCATTCTCTCATAGAGGCCGCAAGAAGAGAAATATCCTGTAGGACCATGGCTGTTGGCACTGTTCGTTTTTGTTGTCTGTGGCTCAGGTATGGTATTTCACTGAATTTATATCCCATGTTCTCCACTGTCCTTCAAAACGTTTTATTCACCAAGTAAATAAAAAATAATTTGGTCTGGGATTGAAGTTAATCACTGCCTTAAGCCTTAATCTTTGTTTAGATTCTGTTCCAAATATGGGTAAAGATAGATCTGTTACACTGTCAAACATAATCATAAAATAATTACACTGAGCAATTAAGTTGACTCTATACACGAAAGAGTTCAGTTAACTCACTCTGTAGACATAGCCTGAAAAACAACATGTGGAACAGAAAGTGGAATACCAAGATAAGTCCGCATTCCAAAGAGTGGGGGAGGTGGCTGCCTTATGAGAGTTCTGTAGATCCCCTGGATAGAACTGAGCCTTCAACCTGAGCCATAAAATGCAGGTCACTTGCCACTGGAAGGTGGCAAGTGCAGAGAGCTGAACTTACAGGACTCCCAGAGGAGATGAGTGAAAGCATCATGCAGTGTTCCTAGTTACATGTTGTTAGTGGGGGTTCAGCATGGGTCCTAGTCCCCGTATGTTGGGTCTCTGTAATTCTGGTATGTGGAGGTCACTTCTAAACATGGGGCATGTCTTCAGGATCCCCATCCCTTCCATCATCTCTCAGTTGCTGAGGACAAAGAAGGTGAGAATTCCAGGTCTCCCAGCATAGGCTCAGGCCTCCAGCCAAGACATCCCAATGACAAAAAAGCCCATCACAAACAACCCATCAGTTCCTTCATCTTCAGGATACCACTTTTCAAAGGAAACCAAAGCTCTTAAGAGGAAGGAGGGATCTAAAGTACTTGGTGTTATTGTTGATTGTAGTTGAAATATTTTAAAGTGGACTTGCTATTCCAAGATGAGAAAATCATTCACTCAAAGAAATAAAGCTCTACCTCATTCCCAAGCTATGTCCTTGAAGAAAATCCTTTGCTCAATGTAGGAATCCCTCATCACTCTTTTTAATAGTTATTTACCCGATCTCTGAATACTTCTGGAAATGGGGTGTTCACTTCTTCAATAAGCAATTCCATGCCTATTAATTCTACTAGAAACATCTCCCCTGTTTTTGAACTACAGTTCAAAACAGTTGTTTGGGCTTGGGTCCTAGAATAACACAGCATGGACTCATTCTCTTCTGGACATCTTGGATCTTCAGCTATTTTGAAAATGTCTGCCTCGTGGTTCCTTCTGCAGACTAAATTCCTGGTTCTCTCAACCTTGCCTCATAAGATGAGGTTTCTAAACACCACCACCCGCCCCCAGATATGTTCAATGACTCTCTCAAAGTATAGCATTGGCAGAAGGTGGTCTAGAAGTGGTGTAATTGCCACAGAGACCTAGCATTGTCATAGCTCTGGATTTCACCACTCTGCTTCTATTAATATAACCGAGGCCTACTTTTTAACTGTCATACTTTTTTTTTTAATGGCCCTTATCAGCCAACTAAGTCCCACTCAGCTCTTCCTCACAGAAACTTGCTGCAAATATCAAAGATGCATCTATGTCTATGTGTATCTCCTTGTCCCAAGGTCTCCCCTATATATATATTTTTTTCCTTATGGCCATCATCAGCATTTGAAATTATGTCATTTACTTAATTATTATCCATCCCCCCATACACAAAGGCAGTATTTACATTATACTAAGTTTGTTGATCCTAGGATAGTATTTGCCATAAAGTGGGTGCTACAGATAGATTGATAACTAGTTCACTTTTTTTGAGACCTAATGTAAAGCTTCATAATTATTTCTGATAAAAAGTTATTGTTAACTGTCGGTTGTCTTTCCACAGAATGTCCATAAAGTTTGGAAACATAAACAAGCATGCATAACAAATGGCTTACTGATATTACCTTATAATATGCAGTATGACTGGTGACATTACATGATATATTCATTGTGTTATCCACCATTAACAATACATAGCTGATATCACCGGACAAAATTACAAGGAATGTGGTAATTTAATGCAGCCTTTCCATCAGTACCTATGTAATCAGCTGTGAGGTATTGCTTCCCATTTCTCTCTGATTTTTCACCCCCCACACACACACAAAAAAAAACCTGTCCCTTTAGCATGCCACAGGAAAATTAGAAAAGAAAAAAAAAAACAATATAAAAAGTTATCTCTGTTTTTAGGTTTTATGACCAGTCTGTACATAGCTTGTGAACCTTGAGCCTTTTATCTAATTCTTCTTCTCTCTCCCAGTTTTATAGCCTCTGAAAGAATATCAGACCTCCATATCACTAAAGAAAAGTCTGGACTCAAGAGAAGTCCAGGGGATACAATCTCCTTCTGATTGACTTTGAACCTTAAGTAAAACTCATTCAAACAATTGTCTTTAGGGTCTGCTGGGTGCCTGGCACGGTGCTGGGCTTTGGAAATGCAAATCCCCTCCTTGGGAGCTTGCAGGTGCCTGGAGAGGCAGAGAAGGGAGCTGTCAGGTGCAGCCCAGGGAGACAGCACCAGGTAGTGACCCTAGTGCTTGGCCTATTTGGATAAGGGACTTCTGCCTCTTGGGGGGCCCAAAGAGAAAGCTTCCTAGAGGAGGTGCTGTTTGAGTTGAGTTTTGGAACAACCAACCAGACAAAGCGGGTGGGGAAAGAGATTCCAAAGAAGGGAAGCTGAAGTGGTGCCAGCACTGAGGTTTGATGGCAGGCCAGGCCAGGCAAGTAGGAAACCCAGTCGAGGGGCAGCTAAGCCTGGGGATCGTGGTGATCACATGTCCCTATTGTCCTCAATCTAAAGAGATACAGAGCCAATATTTGTGTCATTTTTGGTTTCAAGATACCTAGTAACTCTATGAAGCCTTCCCCAATCTGCCCTCTTAGGAGGCCTATGAGGCACAATGCCAGCAGAGCCTTTTTGTCCTGCTTCTTTCTCAAAATCCATGCTAGTTTTCAAAGTCCATCTCTTCTTTTTCAAGAGGCTTGCAGACCTTCTTTAAATTATATGGCCTTACAATTTTTCTAGCAGAATTACATCTTTCTTTCTTGGGTAAATTGGTACATTTGCTGATAACAATTTTTTGGAACTCTTCAAGAAGTTTCTCAGGAATCAAGTACATTGGCTCTGATATCCCCTCCTTAGGTTTGCATGGACCTTGGGATGTGAGGCTTCAGGGCTGGGAGATTTGGACTGAAGAGTCTAAGAGGAGATCCCACCTATTGATTGTCCACACCCCTCCCTTACTGCCCAGTGCTTTATTATATTTTATTTTTTCAGTACTGGGAACCCAAGTCCCTGTGAGTGCTAGAGAAGCACTTTACCACGGGGCTACACCCCAAGGCCTTCTACTGTTCTTTTAACCGTGCTTCTTTAAGCCCTTCTAGTTAGAAGACCATTTTGCTTTTCAGAGGGACTAGACATAAACAGGAGTCGAGTTGTCTTACTTTCACTACCCGCTTTAAACGCACCACTGTGACCCCTAAGCCTGGGCCTCATTCCTTTTCAAATCTTAATGAAAAATAATCTACTTCTGCCCTTTTTTCTTTTTTGCTAGCATTTTTTTTTTCAAGCCTCTGCTTAAGTTGGGCATCGTTCTCACAGAAATGTGTCACTCTTATCAGTTTGTCCTTGGTACTGTGCCCTTCCTTCTATCTTTGTACAAGTCCTTTTCTAAACAGAACATGTCATGAAAAACACAATAGCTCCTTTAGATTTCTCCCAGTTGCCACCTCTCTGGAATTAGTCACAGTTCATTTCATCTTGCAAAGCCTACTCCTTTAGGGGGAGTCACAGTCCACAAGCTCCTACCCATCTTTTCTCTACATTTTAAAGAATGCAATTTCCTCAAGTCCTACCATGTAGCAGCTACTCTGCTTTAGCTAATGAGGCTTCCTGTAAGCACTAGGCAGCTTGAAGCCCTCCTCTTGGGGGTGTCTGGCCTCTTTTCCACTTCTGTCATCCAAAGTAGGAACGATCTGCTCCCTCCCACACCTGTGTGACCTGACCATCTACAGTAAGCACACTAATCCTGCTCTTACCTGCCAGGCTCACACAAAGTGCACTGGAGCTTCTTGGGGGAATCCCCACGTCCCTGAAGACCAATACTCCTTCCTGTCCCTTCCCATCTGCTCTCTCTCCTTTGAGCATGATACTCTCCTATGCCGGGCAAATGTACCATCTCACCAAGTTCTAGTGACATCTTGGAGGTCATACTGCCTTCTTTGAGCTCATGTGATTACTCTTATTTTGAATATTTTCCTAGACACTGAATTAAAAAATGAAATCTGATATGAATGAAGATGTCGATCATTGATCGAAATCTCTGGGAAGTCTCATGGCTTTCATTACCTTACTCTATTAACCCACTTTTCTAATTGGTGATTGGCTGGGTAAAGTGCTCTTTTTAGAAATAGTGGCAGTGTGCCTGGGGTAAATAAATATTCAGGTCAGGCAAGTAGTAAGAAATGCACATTTTTCTCTATTTTTCTAGCTATATTCTGGTAGAGAATCAAGACTGACAGAAGTTGGCACTTAAGAATGTGTCCACTTATTGGTCACTCTTACTTGATTTTAAATGGAAAAACAGATTAACAAACCTGTAAAAGGTCTGTTGAACCTTTTGTTATTAAGAGTCACATGCTGCCAACCCTCTTTTGGCCTTGGCTTCTCAGCTTCTTTTTTGTGGCCTGCATTGTTCTCTGCACATGCCTTTCATGCCAATGGTGCTGAAAAGAGGGCAAGGTTATGAAAAGGAAGAAAAATCAGAAGAACAATGAGGGGACAGAGTCCAGGCACTCAGAGACCTCTGGCACAAACATGCACCCAGGAAGGCCATCCCCTGGCTGAGAAAACAGATGGAGTTTCAGACCTCCTGGGGCTGCCCATGGCCCCCACTTCTGAATCCAGCTAGTCCTCCTCTTCCTTCTAGCTCCAACGTTTGGCCTCTAATGCATTACCCTGGAGAGAGGGGGTTTAGTGAGGTTATCTTAACTATGCCCTCTTCTGAGTAAGTAAATTTCCACTTTCCCTGATTGCAAAAGCTCTCTCAGGCAAGACACTTCTCTGACCAATTGGCAGTAGTGGGATAAGAGGCCTCAGCCGGAAGGATACTTTTGGAATCTGCCAGATTTGGGTTCAAAGCTGGATTTACTGTCAGCTGAATGACCTTGGACAAGTTATTTACAAATCCTCTTGGTATTGATTTTTCTTATCAAGAAAATGGAGATAAGAAGCCCCACAAAGGCTGTCAGGCATTGAATGGTTTGTGGGATCTAAGTATAGGCCCATCACAAACTTAAAAACTGTAGCTACAGTTACCACCTCTGTCTTCTTAGTCCTTGTGGAAAATGGAGACTCCAAGAACTGTTGGTTGCACATTGGGGTACCTTCCATCCTCCCAGGCTGTGCACTTGATTGGTAGAACCAGCCTTAAACAATGGGCTTGATCTGTCAGAAGCCATAGGTCTGCCTCTTCACTCCAAAGCATTCAGTGATAGCACTATTTACTCCATATAATGAACTCCAGCATCCTCCCCACACAGAAAGAAGGAAGCACCCACATGCAGATAAAAATCAGAGAATTGCATTTGTACTTTAAATTGAGCATCAAAAATAAAATGTGGGTTTCATTTCCTTAAAGCAACCCTAACATGCAGCTGTTTTGTATAGATGTTTTCTTTGTTAGATGCAAAACAGTGGGAACAGAATATTCTTGAGATGTGCCATGTCCAATCAGAATATCTGAGAGTCATATCTTGTTTTGTTGCATTTTGTTTAATTTAGTGGTCAGTTTTAAATGTAAAACCTCTTTCTCAATCAAGTGCCTGCTCTCTTAACCCGGGATTTTGTTTTGGTTGAGCCTGTTGAACTGACTGGATTTGTCTCTACTTGATCTCCTGAAATCCAGATCCACAGAGAACTCCGAGGAATTTAAGTGCCTCCTTAAGAAATTTTGCCCATTTTCTCTTCTCTTGTTATGAAAGGATTATCTTCTGTTTCTGCAGGCAGCAGAGCCTCTCCCCAGATAAGCAGCTCCCCCTGACTGTCAGTCCCAGGTTTCAAAACCTACCCTTTGGAGAATGGTTGGATAGCTTCTGAAGGGTGCTTGCTTTATCTTGAGACTCAGAGACAAGCAAGATCTGGAATGTCTGTCTGAGACTGTTCCTTGCAAAGATACTGTAACACATACACCAACTGCTGTCTTCCCCAGGCCATCAGTGAACTACTGTTTGTACCCCAAGCCCTAACTCCTGCGGTTTTCCCCGCCCCCCTCTCCCTATGGTCCTCATGGAGGCCTTATTGAGGTAGATTCTCAGGCCACACCAAGACTCAATGGGAAAGTGGGTAGTGGTTGATTAGTAACCTCTGTCACGACCAGGTATGGCCGGAAGGGCCCCTTCCACCCCTTTGCTATCCATTGCCTAAACATTTTATGTTAGAGCCTTGATACTCACAGACCAACTCCTTAGGTGCTTTCACCTTTTCTTTTTGAGCGGAATGCCCACTGGACTTGGTGGAATTAGGTCTTTTCCTTAATTTGCTGTTCAGACAATCTTGTCATGTACAGGCAGCATATACATGTTTCTAGTGGTCTCTTAGTACTGTTGTGTCCTCTGAGCCCACGCAGGGATACTGTACATTGACAGGGAGCAGCCATCTGAGACACTGTCTTTGCAACATGATTATATCTTCCTCTGTCCTTACGCCTCAATTAAGGTTTCAACTGGGATCAAGGGAGCCACCATTTAAGTCCTGTCATCCTTTGATTCTCCGAGGGAATATGTTAAACACCAGCCATGCCCTAGTTCTCCCTCAGGTTATTTCTCCCCCATGTATTCCTAATTTTAATTCTATTTCTCCTCTCTGGCCAACCCTGATATTCTTTTTCTAATTAGAGATTATGAGAATTGTTATGGTTCCCAAAGCCAGGGTATTCTTGAAACTAACAAGCTTCCCCATCAAAGGGAGACCTCCCAGGTGACAGAATTATCTAGTGACCATTATTTTCTTCATCATTTTCCCTATTGTACAGTACAGATTTGTCAACGAACATATATTACTTTTATAACCAGAGTAAAAATTAAGTGCTTTTTTAAAAACAAAAAAACCTGGATGAGTGGTTTTAGTCTTTTTTTGTTTTTTTTTTTAAAGCTGAAGAACATTTTGTTCAAATCTTAAAGTGGAACAAATTAAAGAGCAGCTGTGGTGGTTGAAGTGGGGTGTGTGTGGGGGGTGTGTGTGTGTGTGCATGCGTATGGTGTATATCCTTGTGTTGCTGGATATTCTGACATTCTCATCTGCACCAAGGAGCACCCATCTGGACCTTCTTGCCCATCGAATAGAAAACTGGGCCCGGCCTTTGTCATGACAAAGTGAAGCCTTTTCGGCAAAGAACCTGCTGGGTTTGTTTGGGGCTATCCATCCTGATCAGCTCCACTCTTTCTGGGTGGGGACATTCTTTTGTCTGTCAGTTAACAGACTGTACTCTCCTCCTGTGCTCTCTAGGGACTCTGCCTGCAGGAGCTGGGGTTGGTAGAGACAGATATCATGTCACAGGCAGGCCCGTTTTCAGGACACCCTTTTCAGAACAGATGTGAAGAAGATGTTTTGCAGGACCTGAGCTCCTCCTGCTCAGCCTCCTACATCAGGTGGTCCAGCTCCCTCCTTTCCCGGATGCCATGGAGGGACCCCTGCCCTTGGTTTCTGAAAGGGTACACCCTCACCCTCCTGAAGATTGGCTATTTTTGTTAAGGATGATGTGGAGTCACAAGTCATGGGTGTGCCAGAGACACATGGGAGGCCAGAGAGCTATTTCTTCTGATGCTCTCTGTCCCTCACTCCTTGTGTGGCCCTTATGTGGACACCAGTTTTTTATGGTGACTATCTTTGAGCCCATGGTTGAGAAGGCAGAATAGAACCATTTGTAACAGCTGAGAATATTTCCTTTGTGAACTGCTGCCAGCTCTCTGAAATCTTCCAGGAACACACAATTGAGGAAGGTCTCTGTTTGGGGATGTGTTGGTTCAAAGCCATCAAGTGAACCTGTACATTGGTCATGAGAAAAGTTAGAAGGTTGCTAAGAACTCCAAATCCAGGGCCAGACTGCCTGGGCTGGAATTTGTTTCTGCTACCTACTTACCGCCTGTGTGGCCTTGTCCAAGTTACTTAGGCCCACTCTGAACCTCAGCTCTGCCATGCTAGAGAGGATGGGACTGGTTCCCAACTCTTGGAGTCCTCGTGACTGTTAATCCTGAGGGTTAGTATTTAACCTGTGAAGGGGTGAATCGAGTCATGCTGAGGGTCTTTTGAATGTTTTCCCTTAACTACCTCCCTGAAAATGTTCTGACCAAGATTCTGAGTGCTTAGAGGGAAAGAAGGGAACATGCCTACCTTTGCTGTGTGGTGGTGAGACAGCACGTGGTTGGGGGCATAACTCCAGGATGTTGAGGGACCTGCCTGAGTCCAGACCAGCTGCCTGTAAACCAGAGGATCAGTGGTGTCAGTCACCTTCACAGGGACAGCCAAAACCTCTTCTTTATTTCTAGAAAGAACTCTGTAAACTAGCCCTTGGGTGTGAGCAAGAGTCAGTCATACTGTTTTGGCTGCTGTGTCTTGGGGACTTGCTTTTGTAAGGCCAGGCCATGTTTTATTCCAGTCATACGATCCTTACAAAGAGGCTGTTACACTCTTTTCCAGATCATAAAACTAAGGTTATAGAGGAAATCGGCCAACATCTAGAGCTAAAGAATGAGAGAGCTAGTACCCAGACCTCGCTCTTCTAAGACTCCAAAGCCCATCTGCTTCTTATTATTTCCACATTCCCTCATTCTTACTATTTCCTTAAAAGTACTATGGAGCAAAAGTTTTCCACTAACTTTAGACCTCTAGCATATGACTGTGTATTGAAAAGAGCTCCTGTTAAAACATTCCCTATTTTCCTCTGCCAGAAAAGTGCTTTTTCTAGAAGTTCCAGATGTCCAGCCATCTGAGGTTTACTCCCAGATGGAGAAAACCTTATCCCAGCCATAGATTGTGTCTTGATTGGGCCACCAGTGCCTCCACTCCCCTCTCTCTTTTCTGGACCCTTGCTCCAGGACAGACTTGAATTCACCCACCATGTTTGCAGGTTGACCACATAAACACTGGCCTTTCCTGGAGACTGACAGAACTTTCTCGGAACTGTGACCCCCAGAGGGAGTCACCTCCTGCAACCAGCAAATGGGGTGCTTGAGGAACGGGACAGCCCCGGAGGAAAGACAGAGGCCATTCATCTGCCCTGGAACCCTGCCTCAGGATCCAAGATGGACAGTCTAGAGAAGACATTTCACCAGCCATTGACTTCCTCAAGGTGACCTGCAGCCTCCTTGTTATGTGCCACCCTCTGCCTGGTGCCCAGTGGAGCACTTAGGATTGTGTAGGCTCTCTTTCTTGGATGAACATTTTCGCTATTTTAATGTGGATAGAAGGCATCCCATTCTTTGCTAATAGTAGGTGCATTTTATAACACCTTCCTGCCCTAACCTGTCTCTGGCATCGCTCTTTATTCCCTTTCCTCCATCTCTGGAGAAGCTACCAAGAAATGCCACCAGAAAATTTTATCTTGCCTTTGATTTTCTTTGTGCTGATCTCTCAGAGAGCTTTAATGATCCACGTTTGCCACGCATGTCTCCTAACATTTCTGCCTGTCTCTCAGGGAGCCTGTACTTTTTTTTTTTTTTTTTTTAACTAGTTCTTTTATCGTTTTCATTTTTTCTTAATGAAAAATAAAGCTTGATTTTTACAGTTGTCTTATCCTCCTAAAGGATATTCCACTAGTCTGTCTTAATCTTTCTTCTCAGTAACTCCCTTGATCTCTTTTATCATCAACTATTTATTTTCAATAAAAGTGGCTTTATGAAGCCTCCCATTATCTGGCAGGGCCCCAGCTTCTGACAGTGTCCTATGGGATCCACTTGTTACATCATCCCTGTTTCCTTCTGGCATGCCTTTGCAGCTGGGGGGTAGGCCAGTCTCCAGGGTAGGAGTGGGTTGGAACGACACAGTCACAGGCTTTGAGGACTTTACAGTCTGTCCTGACTTGGCTTCTCCTCCGAGGACTAAGCTCTTGGGACATTTGGCCTGAAGGTAGCCATTTGAGGCTGACTCTTTTGGTTTGCAAAGTAGTCATTTGAGGTTTTTAAAATGTATTTTCCTCTGTGCTCTTTGCAGTTATTCACCTTTCATTCATTCAATAGATATTTGCAAGGGATCTGTTTTGTGCCATATATGGTCTCTCTTATCCCGCAGTTTAGTCTAGTGGAAAAGAAAGATGAGTTAATCAAGGAATTACCCCCAAACAATGTAAAAATCTAGCTATGAAAGTGTTTGAAAGAGAGGTGCACACATCTATGAAAGCATATAAGGTGAAGGTATACCTTTGAATAAGTGCTTCTCTAAGTGTGACCTCCAGACCAACAGCCTCAACATTCCTGTGAACTTGTTAGAAATACAGATGTCAGTCCCCACCCCAGACCCCATTGGATGATAAACTCGGGGGCCAGTGGGGGGGTGGCATCTGATTTTTTTAATTTAACATAGCCCCAAGGGACATTTAGATGCAAGTTCAAGTTTGAGAACCTCTGCTTCAAGGGGTCAAAGAAGGTTTCTCTTCCTTCTTACAAAGGAAGCTAGGCTATGGGGTAGGTGAAAGAAGGTCTTTCAGAGAAAGAATGGCATGTGTTAAAGCCCTGTGGTAAGACCAAGGAGCTTTATGAAGGAGTAACCCCAAGCAAGTGGAAAGAGTGGTACAAAATGAATCTGGACAGGTCGACAGGGGCCAGAATCTGCAGGTCAAGGAGGCCTCATCAAGGGCTGGGCAGTAGGAAGCTTATGATATGCTTTAAACACAGGAGTGACATCATATAATTTGCTTTTACTTAAAGAACAATTCTAACCACAGTGTGGAGAAACTGTTGAAGAGGAGCAAGAGCAGACCAGCTGGAGGTTATTACAGGGGTCTAGGGAAAGATGTCAGTAACTTGGACTTGGATGGTATCTACAGGGATGAAAAGGGGAGCACATAATCCCAAGATTCTTAGGTAAAATCCACAGGTCTTGGTCAGGGTCAGTTTACATACAAGATGGAGGTAGTGCACCACTTTTGTCAGTGGAAGAGAACATGAGAAGAATGATCCTGTTGAGTTTGAGGTGCTTTTGAGCCGCCCTAGTAAGGACAGCAGTTAGATGGTAGAAGGTGGGAGTCTAGGGCTCAGAGGAGAAGCAGGGGCTGGAGATGCACGTCCATGAGTCAGGCATCAGCAGTGGAGTGGCCACCGACACTGTGGGTCAGGACCTGGCGCTTTGGAAGAAAGAAGAATGTGAGGAAACGAAGAAAACCAGCGAGGCTCACTGGGGAACTTAAGTGCTCAAGCTCTGTGGCCAGGTGGAGGAAGGGGATCCCAGAAGACACACTTAGAGGAAAGAGCCAGAGAAAAGGAGGACCACCAGAAACCAGGGACGATAGAGGGGACCTTCCAGGAGGGAATGCTCAAGTCAGAAGGAGAGTAAGGCCAGACGAAGCTAAAGGCGGCCTGTCACACAAGGGATGCCAAGGTCACGACTTGTGACGGCAGGAAACGAGATTTCAATGAGGGAAGGGACCGAAGCTAGAATGTGGAGGACTGAGACCAGAACAGAAGTAAAGAAATTGAGAGTGTGTTGGCAGCTCTTTAGCAGTGGTTGAGAAGAGGAAGAGAACACTTCAGGAATGAGCGTTGTGGGGTCAGGCAGACTGTTCTGGTTTGTCCGAGTTGGGGGTGGGAGTGGTTCTAGCGTGCTGAAGCTAAGAGCTTGAAGAAACCTGAGCTGCAGTCACCTAAGTTCCCCGTCCCAGAGCCAGGAACCCAATGCAGGTGGACGGGTGCAAAGGCCTGTTCATTCTGGTAGTTTCTGCTCTCCTGGGGAACTCTTCTGAACCTCTGGGTGTGGCCTGCCCAGGGCTTGGTCCCCTGGTCTGGAATGCCTGCAGTCCCTCCCTTCCTTGGCTTCTCTCCTGCCTCCTGTCCTGCCGCCCTCAGCCCCTCTCCTGCAGCCTGCTCCACTGTTTTCTCAGCTTGTTCACCCACTGTTAAGTTATTAACTTGTCAGGCTTCCTTTCCCTCTTTGAACTCCCTGTTGGCTCCCTTCCTGAACCTTCACTGCCTCGGAAAGTCAGCATTTTGAAGGCCAGGGTTGCTCTGCAGGTCAGTATTGACAGGCACACAAAATTACAATTAATTAATTGGTATAAAATGAGGAAAGCTTCTTCAAGACATTGATACAATGGAAAAAGGAACAATAAGCCCACCATCTGTCCATTGTCTTAGGTGTGAACTTAAAGTAGAGTTCATTCAAAGCAATTTCTCCAAAAGGGGTAAGTTTTAAAGAGTCACCTATAAATACATTAAAAAACCACTGGATTTTTACATGCTCATTATGGATTCAATTAGAATCAGAAATTATCTTTAATTTTTAAAGCAGACTCAAAGAGGTAGGTAAGTTGTTTTAATGGACATCTCACTACTCTGAGACTTGCACATTTTCTCTAAGATTCTTTAGAAAGATTTGCAGCAGTTCCTTAAAGAGAATTGAGTGGCTTTATCATTACCTAGAACCTCTGACGTCTTGAATGAACAATGTGGAGTATGATGGATTTAGACACAGGCTGGTTCCTATTTAACCTACAGCCCATTTCTTGTCTAAGGACAAAATTAAGGGAGAGGTAACATTTTTGAGCATCTGGCATGAACAGACCACATACCTGTGTCATCATATTTATTCCTTGGGGTACTTACTTTCCACAGTTTTATAAACAGAGAACACAGGGCTGAGAACTGTGGTAATTCCCTAAGGCTCACACTTTATAGAGTGGCAGACAATTAAGAGCTGGTCTTCAGGGGCCAGGGTTATGGCTCAGTGGTAGAGCACTTGCCTAGCATGCGTGAGGTTTTGGGTTGATCCCCGGTACCACATAAAAATAAAAACAAAATAAAGGTATTATGTCCATCTACAACTAAAAAAAAAAAAAAAAAAAGCTGGTCTTCCTGTTTACACATGGTCAAGTATCTCTAAACCAAAAATTCAACATCCAAAATGCTCCAAGATCTGAAACTTTTTGAGTGTCAAGTAGAAAATTTTACACTTTACCTCATGTTATGAGTGGTCGCAGGTGCACCAAAAATATTGTACAAAATGACCTTCAGCCTGTGTGTATGGTGAATGTGAAACATAAATGAATTTCATGTTTAGACTTGGGGTTCCATCCCCACTATATCTCATTATACATATGCAAATACTCCAAAGTTTCAAAAAGTCTGAAATCTGAAATACTTCTGGTCCCAAGCATTTTGGATAAGGGATGCTCAGCCTGTGGTAATAATAGCAAGAGCTCTGGCCATGCATTGAATCTTTAGTGTGTAAGGAACCTCCATATATGTCATATTGCCTAATCCCTATGGTAGTCCTGCAAGGACCATGATCCTAGTGTCACAGAAGAGGAAACAACCTCAAAGAGGTTAAATTATTTGTCCAATCACCAGCTCTTCAGTAGTAGCTCTTCCATCTGACCCTTACATTCCTCTCTCAAGTCATCTTGTTTATTGAGATTAGGATAGTTCCCTGACCCCAAGAACAAAGTCTGAGGGATGGCAGATGTATTTTTTTTTCCTGATGTTTTGAATGTACAAAACTGCTTCCTGGCATTCCCACTGAACCAGAATACAGACGCTTATTTAATCTTTGCTGCTCGTCAGCCTCGGTAGAGAACAGAACCATCAGATATTTCTGCAAGCTTGCAAATTTTGGTAGGCTACTTTCTCATGCATCTAGCAGCTACCCCTGTCAAGACCCACTCAGGAACACAAACTTAGCCAAGAAAACATCTGAGCACAGCTAGAATTAAATATCACAAGTCATTGAACCAACTCATTCGCCTTATCTACAGAAGAGTCCCTCAGCCCACACGGAACTGTCATTTCAATTTTACACATTAATTCTAATGGCCTTGGTGTAAGCTTAGTCTGCAGCAATGAAATAACAGAAGCAGGCCCACTGCAGAGGAGTGTAGTAACACCAGAGATGTGACCAGAGATAAGAACAAAGAGACAAAAAATATGATAATAGAAACCAGAGCCCAGAAGTACTGCCATGCAGAGTTATTTGGATATCAAACACTGTGTGTCCTCCAAAATAATATCACAACAGAATATTATCAATTGTTTTGATTATGGCGAAACTGAATTTTCATGAAAAGTTAAAACTATTCCCTGGCTGGTATCTCCAGTTTAGGAAGGCAGTGGTAATGTATGCAGTGTTTCTTTTAGAAAATGAGAAATGGCCAAAAAAAAAAAAATGCATTAGAGCTTTGTCTACCCTTGAAATCAAGCTGTCCAAGAAAGACCAGGAGTCTGTATTTTTCTTTGTATTCCCCAACCCCAATTCTCAGCACTTATTACAGGTTGAGCATTCCTAATCCAAAAATGCAAAATCTAGAACTTTCTGAGCATTGACATGAGGCCACAAGTGGAAAATTCAACACCATGAAGCTTAGTTTCATGCATAAAATTATTTAAAATATTCTGTAAACTTATCTTCAGGCTATATGTATGAATAAAGCTTATAGGAAACATAAGTAGTATCTTATTATAATATGCAAAAATTACAAAATCCAAATTTCTACACATTAGCCAGGTGCTCACTATCGTAAGGCGACAAACTACCAAATGCCGTTTCCCGAGGGTTGGGAAGCCCTGTTTCACTGTGGTTACTTAGAAGCTATGTCCCTGGATATATTCCAGGATGACTTTTTGAAACAGAGGAGTGGTAAGACCCCTGAGAGCTCAGTGTTTATTCTGTTTTTACACGTAATTAAGTGAGATGACACCCAGCCTCCTTATAGATAATAATAACAACAACATTTAACTACAGGGTAGTTGTTCTTATCATCATTATCATAGTCTGCAGCAAGCTTGACCACTGTCGAACACGAGGGAAGATTTAAAAGAGAAATTGGGATTTTCTCTCATTTGAAACCCAGTAGCTAGAACCAGGCTGGGAGCTTTCTATCTGGTTCTCCCCTAACAAGCAAAGGATCTGGAAGTTCTCGGTGGGTTCCAGCCCCCCCTCCCAACCACCCCAGCTGGTAAAGATGTAGTGTAGCCCGAGTCAGCGTTGCCCTGGGTGAGAGCGCCTTTAGGTCTGCAGCCAGGAGATGCACAGGCTTGGGCAGCAGAGACCCAGCTGTGCGCCTGCTCGGAGCACCTGGCCTTCCTTCCCTTTGCAGAGCTGGTTATTTTACAGGTCAAGGCCATTTTGAAAAGGCAGACTCACTGACCTGTTTAATGAGTGCAGTTTCTGCTCCAAAGCCCAGCAGCAGAATATTGCTGGGGAAGGGGCCAATTCTCCTCTCCCCGCCGGAGGGGTTTCTGGCCTTAGCTCCTGGTGGAATTAGCAGGAGTTATCTATAAATCCCAGAGGCATCCATCAGCAGACAGAGCCAGGCTGCCTTTTGAAAGAAGTTCACTGACCCCTTGTTAACTTAACTCCTTGTTAGGAAATATCTAATCAGCTGTGAGCCAACCCGTCCAGGGCCCTGGGGTCAGCAGAAGCAGGGTGCGCTGTGGGTTGGGTTTCTGGCCGTGTGCTCTCTGGTGACTGGGCCGTCTGTTTTGGTTTCCTCTTTCAGCCATCTTTCAAATCATTCAGAGCATAAGGATGGGCATGTGAGGAGGCCGGGGCATCTGATGCTGCGCCCTCCCGCTGGAGGGTGGAGGACCACGGAGGCCTTTGGCGGGTATCTGTGGGAAGCCAACAGGCCACGTGGAATAGAGAAGAGGCTTCGCCACTGGTTCCCTGACCACTTCCGCCTGGAAGTCAGACCAAACTGCCTTCTCACAGAACATCTCGGTGAATCCGTGTCCTCCAGCGGAAAGGACATTCTGCTTTTCTGTTGGCGGGATTGGTAGCCACGCGGGTCGTCTGCAGCATTGCTGTCTGTCTGGTCCCCCTTGGTTTCACTAATGTGTGCATGTGGCCCTCTGAATGACCGCTGGTTTACTTTCTACCGATGCAATCTCTCCTCTGTCGGGAAATGGTTTTACAAATAAATGTCTTCATTCAACCTTATGCCATGTGTGGGTTTGCAGGGACAAAAGCCAAGGGGGGAAAATAGCAGAATAGCTTGAGGGGGGTTGGGGAAGGTGGGAGAACTCGGTGATGCTACTGGAAAAGGCACAGGGAATCTGTGGACCAGGAACCAGATGTGGGATTACCCAGCAGGTCCTTGGCCAGACCCTCAAAGTCCTTTGCCTGAATGAAGCCCTGAAGGGCTCCAGCGACCTTGCATCTTCCACACATTTGACTTTCATTCTTCTTTTCTAATGAATATATTTTTGTCTTGTTTTGCTTTTCCTCGTTCTTTTTTCTCAGTCCAGAAAAGGCCTCTATGATGCATGTGAAGGTCTGATTAGCCGTTATCTTCTCTGTGGTCTGTCGCAGAGCACAGAACAGATGTCACAGGCCTCCTGGTGAAAACTCTCCACCCCCAGGGCCCAGCTGTGGCAGATTCAGAGTCCTGGACAGAACAGGAGCCCTGTAGCACTCTGGGTGGTCAGCAGGCAGGATTGGGGGGCCCAGCTAGGGGCCCTCCTCTCCCTGGCCCACATTCCACAGCCTCTCAAAAGAAAATCACAGGGAGAGGCACAGAGGCCTCCGATAGGACTAAAGCCCTGTGCAGATTTAAGTATATTTATTTTTTAATTCCGTCTTTGCATTAGCAATTGTTTTCATTCCTTACCTTGGTAAGAGCTTTAAAAGGGGAAGTGGCAGAACGGCCAGGGCTTCTCTCAAAAACTGGAGGGGTTTTAAGTGCACACTTTGAATCTGGGGCATTTTACTTACCAGAGTCTTTAACACCAGATCCTGTAGCAATGTTCTTCATATAACTTCCTTTCTTCCCACCCTCTGAATTCCCCTTCAGAGGCACCTCGCCTCCTTTCTCTTCCTTCCTTTCCCACTAGGAGGGTATTGGAACTGCTCCCAAATCAACAGCCCCAGGGAGAGTCTGCCACCCTTGTGCCTAGGGACCAGGAGTCCAGTGACCTGTCAAGAAATGGAAGAAAAAGGCCCCTTGCCTTAAAGCTGCCCCTACATATACCTCTTCTGATGTCGAGGGTGTGGGCCTTTCTATTTCTCCACCGATGCCAGTAAAAGCATACTCATCAAGCCACCATCAAAGGCCATTGCTTGCTGGAACATTGTGGTTCATCCTTTATTGGACAGAATTTCTTTTTTTTTTTTTTTTAATTCAAATATTTCCAAAACAGCAGTATTCAAGGGCATGGTTACTTCCATTTCAGGGAAAAGGAATGCATCTGCAGCCAGAGCCATAGAGCCAGCTCCAGAGAACCCAATTCCATCCCAGGTGAGAGGTGCAGTGGGCTGAGCCGCTGCCATCCCTAAAACTGCCCCTGATGGATTTCTATCCCCAGGTCATGCAATCATCCACAAATTGGTTTTCTACTAGTTTCCAGGTAGCCTCCCTGAAGTACTTGCATAGGACAGTCTGCTCTCCCTGGTGATTTCTTTCATCAGTCTTCTGCAAGCAGAAATGACAGCTTCTGTAAGAAAATGAGGGTCATTGCTGAGTTATGTTGCACGGCAGGGACTACTGATATTTTCACTGTGATGCATAGTAAAAAATAGGCAGTATCCTGAAGCACAATGTACCCAAGAAAACAGGTTTTACACAATACCATCCTCACCATATATAATGCATTCAGATTTTTTTCTTGTCAACTTAATTTTTCTATTTTTATTTTTTTGTAGTGCTGAGGATTGAACCCAGGGCTTTGTGCATGCAAGGCAAGCACTTTACCAACTGATCTACATCCTCAGCCCAAGTCTACTTAATTTTCTAAAATTCTCTTGCATCTTTTATAACTGGGTTCATGACCCATAAATAAATTTTAACCCTTATTTTGAGAAACTTTGGTCTTCAGGAGAAATTCAAGCCTTTAGCTGGACTCATAAGGCAGGAAATTTGGAATCCTGCTTTTCATTCTAAGATGACAAGAATCTAAAGTCATTATTCAGTCACAGTCCATACCTCTGGCACATAATAAGTGACTTCTTTGGGGATTTAAGTTATGTTGGCAGATCCTGCAGAAAAAGCAGGTGAACCTTTGGATCTGGCACCACCTTGAATTGATCAAAACACTGCAAAATTAAATGGCTTGGTCAGAGAAAAACCAAGAAGAGATCACTGCATTTTTATGCCCTAAAAGAGTGCATAGGCCTTTTATGTAATCTTTTCATATCAAGTGTTCATTTCGATATTAGGAAAGAATAAGTTGGGCTGCAATAACAAAAGTCCAATAGCATTTCCTTCTCTCTTAAAAGTGTGATGCCAGCTGGCAAGGGCTTCCCTCCAAGTGCTGGCTTGGTAACCCAGGTTCCATTGCTGCTACAACATAAGGTTCTCCCAGCAACTGGAAGAAAGGAAGGCAGGGAGCAGCCGCTCTTGCCTTGTTCCAGAGTGGTAATTCACTTCCATTTACTGCTGTTGGCCCAAATTAGGCAAATAGTTAGGTTATATACCTAACTAATCAGCAAGTAGTTTGAGAAGTGTCAAGGTGCATATGGCTACATGGCCAAATGTTTCTGCCACAATCCTCTGCTACTGTATGTTCTGTGTATTGCATGATTGTGAGACCAGAGTTTGGTAAGGTCAGTTCTCTAGCCATCGGACCACCTCTTCTGGGGGACTTAATCTCTCCATGCTCCTTTGGCTTCTAGAGTTGTCCCTGGGTACAGCTCACAGATGATGGGTGAGAGGCTTGCTATGAGCCACTTCTCAGTCACAGTCCTACACTGGTAGGCAAATATGTAATATATCACCCAAGCCAGCATAGTTTCACACATGAAAGCAAGTACTATTAATAATTCTACCAAGAAAACAAACTGGCTAATCTGGAAATGTCCGGGCACATGAGAACATATGATCCTCGTGGATAGATGCACAAACCCTCATCTCAAGTAAGAAAGTTTGCATTTCCACAAGCCCATCACTCACTGTATACATTTCCTAAGAAGAAATGTAAAATCCAGTCTTCCTGTGAGGGGGTTAGATTCATAGCTAACACTTACGGAAGGTTTAATCCTCATGGGATGCCTCTCAGGTGGTAGTATAACTACCTGTCTTGAAGATGAAGAAACTGAAACACAGAGTTTTGAAATTTTTGCCCAAGGTTAGAAGAAAGGCTGAAAGAAAATCAAACTGGGACCCAAACCCAGACAGACAGTGCTCAGCTTGTGTGTTCTTCACCCGGCTCTACCCCAGGAGCACTCAGCCCCGGGAACAGGCAAGGTTCTGCAGAGCACCCCTGGGGGTGAAGGGAAATGGTTTTAACAGGATGATAGAAATACATCCAGTTCCCAAATCTATATTATCTCTCTATGGGAAAAGGGCTTCTTTTTCCTTGTTTTTCATCTGGTTATTAATATTTTGATAAGCCATTTTCAGACTGGATGAGTGATGCCGCAGTCCGGCTGTAACCGGGGGATGAAGAGGAACTTGTGTACATTGATACAGCAGGAGTGGGAGCCGTTTATTGTAGGACAAGAGGGGTATATATACATTCCACACAGCTTATCTAATTAACATAAACTAGATATAGCAGTCAACCAATAAGGAATCTCCACACTAAATGGCTCGCTGGCATTACTTCACAAACCACTCCCTCTGGCATTTTGCCAGGCGCCATCTTGACTTGTTTACAGACCCTAACAGAGTGAGAGGGTGTTGGAGAACAAGTAAGAGTGGAATAAAGGTATATTTCTGGTGACAAGGCGTAAACAGGACCACCAGGGAGTGAGACCCACCTACAAGAAAAGGGACCTTGTCATTGAAACAACTGAGCCTCTGACTCCCTCAGGGCATAAGCAAGGAGACTGGGGTGTGTCCACCCCTACCTGGACCCTGTAGCAGGGCTCCTAAAGGCTGCAGGAACACAATGGCACCTCAGTGTCCTATATATTTGGGCCCCTCCCTTCACACTCGTGCTTAGTGAACCATCAAATTTTTCTCCTGAGGACTTCAAGGTAGCTGCCAGAATACACCTTGGCTTTCAATATGACAGTGACACAAAAGCATCCATGCTAATATGCCTGTAACCCCTGTGTTTACTCTCTTTTCTGGAAGTTTATTTGAAAAAAAAAAAAGAGTGTGGCTGTGTCTCCATGAATGCCATGTGGGAGCACTTGGCTTCTGCAGGGAAATGTCTCCTTTGCTTCTTACAGCACCATCTCCTGTCTGGGTGCTCCTGCTTCCCAGCAAGTATTGCAGAGAGGCAAAGGGTGGAAAAGGGACAGCAATGCTCCTGTGAATTAGTGCATTCACGGTCAGAGTCACCAAACCTGTATTTCAGGGGACATCTCTGCAGCTGGCAATCTCGCAGACTGGCCTGCAGCCCTAAAGCCTGGGTGGGGGTGGGGGGCAGGGCCTGGCTCTTGAAAGAAGCAGATTCCTTTCAGGCTTTTGGTCTGAGTGAAACCCATCAGACTTCA